CATACCATGCTCATAGATAGGAAGACTCAACATTGTGAAAATGTCAATGCTACCCAAGAAATCTGAGATATAATACAATCATGATCCAAATACTAACAGCATTCTTTAACAAGATGGAAAAACTAATCACCAACTTATATGAAAAAAAAAAGAGGCCCTGGATAAGCAAAGCACTATTGAAGAAAAAGAACAAAGTAGGAGGCTTCATACTACCTGATCTCAGAACCTACCATACAGCCACAGTAGTCAAAACAGCCTGGTACTGGTACAATGACAAACACATTGATCAGTGGAACAGAATCAAGAACTCAGATGTAAATCCATCTACCTACAGCCACCTGATTTTTGACAACGGCCCAAAGTCCATTAAATGGGGAAAAGACAAGTCTTTTTAACAAATGGTGCTGGTAAAACTGGATGTCCATCTGTAAAAAAAATGAAACAGGACCCATATCTCAAAGCATACACAATAACTAATTCAAAATGGATGAAAGACCTAAATATAAAACCAAAAACTATAAGGATCATAGAAGAAAAAATAGGGTCAATGCTAACCGAAAAAAACCCAAACCCGTTGCCGTTGAGTCAATTCTGACTCCTGGTGACCCTATAGGGCAGAGCAGAACTGCCCCATAGGATTTCTAAGTTGCTGCTGGTGGATTCAAACTGCTGACTTCTCGGTTAGCAGCCAAGCTCTTAACCACTATGCCATCAGTGCTAGGGAGCCTTATATATGACAGACGCAGGATACAAACCATAACTAACAATATACAAACACTGGAAGATAACCTAGATAACTGGGATCTTCTAAAAATTAAACTTATGCTCATCAAGACTTCACCCAAAGAGTGAAAAGAGAACCTACAAACTGAGAAAAAAAATTTGGCTATGACAAATCCCACAAAGGTCTAATCTCTAAAATCTATAGGGAAATCCAACATCTCTGCAACAAAAAGACAAATAATCCAATTAAAAAATGAGCAAAGGATATGAACAGACACTTCACCAAAGAAGACAGGCAGCTAACAAAACATGAGAAAATGCTCGCAATCACTGGCCATTAGAGAAACACAAATCAAAACTACAATGAGATACCACCTCACCCCAACACTACTGACACTAATCAAAAAAACAGAAAATAACAAATGTTGGAGAGGTTGTGGGGAGATTGGAACTCTTATGCACTGCTGGTGGGAATGCAAAATGGTACAACCACTATGGAAAATGATACGGCACCTCCTTAAAAAGCTAGAAACAGAAATACCATATGATCCAGCAATCCCACTCCTAGGAATATATCCTAGAGAGCTATCACACGAATAAACATATGCACACCCATGTTCATTGCAGCATTTTTCACAATAGCAAAAAGATGGAAACAACCTAAGTGCCCAGCAACTGATGAATGGATAAACAAACGATGGTATATACACACAATGGAACACTACACAAAGATAAAGAACAATGATGAATCTGCGAAACATCTTGCAACATGGATGAATCTGGAGGGCACTACGCTGAGTGAAATAAGTCAATCAGAAAAGGACAAATACTGTATGAGACCACTATTATAAAATCCCATGAAAAGGTTTACAGACAGAAAGAAATAATCTTTGATGGTTATGGGGCAGGGAGGGGGTAGTGGATGGGAAAAACACTAACTAGATAGTAGATGGAAACCCTGGTGGTGTAGTGGTTAAGAGCTACGGCTGCTAACCAAAAGGTCGGCGGTTCAAATCCACCAAGTGCTCCCTGGAAACCCTATGAGGCAGTTCTACTCTGTCCTATAGGGTCACTATGAGTCGGAATCAACTCGACAGCAATGGGTTCGGTTTGGGTTTGGTTTAGATTGTAGATAATTGGTAACTGGTGAAGAGTAAGTCAGTGCACAATACGGGGAAAGTTAGCACAACTTGACCAAGGCAAAGCCACAGAAGCTTCACAGACACATCCAAACTCCTTGGGGGACCATGGTCTTGGGGTCCATCTGGCTCAACTGGTATAAGTTTTATAAAGAAAATGTTCTACATCCGAATGTTGTGTGTAGCATCTGGGGTCTTAAAAGCCTGTGAGTGGCCGTCTAAACTACATCGACTGGTGTCATTCTGGCTGGAGCAAAGAAGAATGAGGAAAACCAAAGACATAAGTGAAATATTAGTTCAAAGGACTAATGGACCACAACTACCACAACCTCCACCAGACTGAGCCCAGAACACCTAGATAGTGCCTGGCTACCACCACCAACTGCTCTGACAGGGATCACAATAGAGGGTCCTGGACAGAGCGGGAGAAAAATGAAAAACAAAATTCAAATTTACAAAAAAAAAAAAAAAAAAACAGACTTGCTGGTCTGACAGAGACCAGAGAAACCCCGAGAGTATAGGCTCCAGACACCCTTTCTCAGTTCTGAAGTCACTCCCAAGGCTCACCCTTCAGCAAAAGATTAGACAGGTGTATAGGGCAATCAATAGCACATGTGAGGAATGTGCTTCATAGTTCAATCATGTATACAAGACTAAATGGACACACTAGCCCAAAAACAAAGAAAAGAAGGCAGGAAGGGACAGGGAAACTGGAGGAATGGAAACGGAACCCGGGGTGGAGAAGGGGAGAGCGTAGACACATTGTGGGGTTGGAAGCCAATGTCACAAAACAATTTGAGTATAAATTGTTTAATGAGAAACTAATTTGCTCTGTAAACCTTCACCTAAAGCATAATATTAAAAAAAAAGAAGAGCCAGAAGTAGAGTGAGTCCTTTGGACCCAGGGTCCCTGTGCTGAGAACTTCCTAGACCCAGGACACAGAGAGAGAGCTATAACACTGAAGGTGGCACAAGATGACAGTTGCAAGGGACCGGCAGGCTAGGCTTACCAATTCATGTAGCGAGGGAGCTGACAGCCTTCGAGCAAAAGGCTTCCTGGAGGAGTGGGGTGCCTCAGGGCACTTATCTGCAGAGCTAAAGAGCTTTGTAACACTTGCTTGAGCAGGCCAGGCCAAGAGCGAGGGCCAAGGGCCAAGAGAGAGGCCTGCCTGCAGGCACGGCCGAGAAGAAGTTGTCCTTGTAGAACTGTATCCTGAGTTGTTCCTGTACCTTCAAGTTGATCCTGATTCTGAACTGTAATCTGCTATTTCCCTAATAAACCCCATAATCATGAGTATGGTCTGTGAGTTCTGAGCGGCCATTGCAAAGAATTCTCGAACCCAGCAGAGAAGTATAGAGTGCCAATGGAGGGGCAGCTGGTGTCAGAACTGGTAAAAAAAAGTTGGAGGATGGAGGTATGTCTGACCTCCACCTAATGAGAATCAGCCTTGGGCTGATGCTGATCTTGATTCTTCCGTCTCCCCTTGAAGTTAGACAAGGTCTGATGCCACACCACTTTTTATAGATGGAAAGACAGTAGCACAGCCAAAAGTACAACACTGTCATTCAAATACATTACTTGCTTATGCTTCTATCCTTAGATGTATAGCTTCCTATGAAGAAAGAAAAGGAAATGCCACTTGTCTACATGGGAATTTACCTTAGATTTTGATTAAGTGTATATTACTATCAGGAATTATATGTGGCTTCAATACTTTGAGTATCAGGAGGATCAAAATACATTATATAATTTTAATTTAACTCAGGAAAATATTACTAAAAACCAGAGTGACTCTAAAAACAAGAAAAAATCATTAATTTTTTTTCTGGCCAGATGCATGAAAAAAAAAGATGGCCAGCAACAACAGTTTGGCTTTAGATTCAGATTACTTAACCATTCAAAAATATAATTAAGAATGCTCCTTTTTCCTTCAACTATGAAAATATCAAGTTGCCCCTAAGAATAAAAATAATGTACATATAAACAGTCCTCTTTTATAACTAACATTGCTTAAGTCTTTTAGGCTTTTAAGTAAAACAGTGATAGAATAATCAGGCAGTATGTTAGTCAAAAGGAGCCCTGGTGACACAGTGGCTAAGTGCTCCACTGCTAATTTAAAAGGTTGGCGATTTGAACCCACCAGCTGCTCCACAGGAGAAAGATGTGACAGTCTGCTTCATAAAGATTACAGCCTTGGAAACACTATGAGACACTTCTACTCTGTCCTACAGGGTTGCTATGAGTTGGAATAGACTTAACAGCAACAGGTTTGGTATCTTAGTGAATCAATAAATAAGTGAAACAATATATGACATTTAGACAACTACAGTAGTCCCCCCCATCCACAAATTTCGCTTTCTGTGGTTTCAGTTACCCGCAGTGAACAGCTGTCTGAAAACATTTAATAGAAAGTTCTAGAAATGAACAATTCATACGTTTTAAATTGCACACAGTTCTTAGTACCATGATGAAATCTTGTGCCATCTCACCCCAGACGTGAATCTTCCCTTTGTCCAGCATATCCACGCTCTATACACTATCCACCCATTTGTCATTTAGTAGGTCTCTCGGTTATCACATCGACTGTCACAGTATTAGAGTGCTTGTGTTCAAGTAACCCTTATTTTACTTAATTAATGGCCCCAAAGCGCAAGAGTAGTAACGCTGCAATTCATATATGCCAAAGAGAAGCCATAAAATGTTTCCTTTAAGTGAAACTCGACTTAATAAAGAAAAAAAATCATATCATCTCATGTTATCACAAGAAGAGAAGCTTGAGTACAGTACAATAAGATATTTTGAGACAGACAGATACTACATTCACATAACTTTTAGTATATTGTTATGATTGTTCTATTTTATTATTTGTTATTGTTGTTAATCTCTTACTGTGCCTAATTTATAAATTAAGCTTTATCATAGGTATGTATGTATAGGAAAAAATTTAGTATATATAATAGGGTTCAGTATTATCTGCAGTTTCAGGCATCCACTGAGGGTCTTGGAATGTATCCCTCACAGATAAGGGGGGGGACGACTGTATAATTGTTTCCCTGTTGCTCTCTGACACTAGGAAGTTTATTGAGTAATTCTGCATGATTTTTTAAAGGCAAAAGAAACAACAAATATTCCCTTACCTTGTAAGATGGCAAGAAACACAAAATTCCCTGGCTCACAGTTTGGCACACAGATAACAAAAGTGCCCCCACTTCATCCTGGAACTCAAACGTTTCAGTGTGCTGGAAGGTAGCACAGAGATTCCGTCCTGTAGGGCCTGATCCAATGGTGCCAACCCAAACCTAGAGGACAAATATTTCAGTATTAGAGTTATGTCTAAACTAGGCTGGCAAATTACCACTTAGTTGGGAGCCTTAATTACATATATGTCAAAAGATCAAGCAAGTTTAGAAGAAATTTATTTTAAAAATGCTGTTTTTTTCTTATTACCTTTAGTTAATTTCATATAGATTTAACTTATAAAGGTTTTGTTTAGGCAGATCACTGATTTCTTAGAATGAAAGTTCTAAGGGCAAAAGGGGTTTTATTTATCTCTCTCCTCAACAGCTTTGCAAAATTAAGCACATAACAATTTTTTTTTTCTTGGATGAATAAATGAACAAACAAAATGAATACTTTAGGTCTATACGCCAATAATAGAATCAGATATTCAAAAACATTGGGTTGGGGGTATGATCTGCAACACATAATTATCTAAGACTTAACAATGACAGGAACTACTCTTTCACATGTTCATCGGTGCTCAAATATCTATGCTAACTAGTCACAGAAAATCAGACCTACCAAATTTTACTTATTTGCAATTATGCTACATTCATATGGATCTAGCCTTGGTCTAGTTAATTTGACTAGGAAAAAGAACAAACTTTACTAGGAATCTAAAGATAATCCAAACACTATAGATTAGCTGGTTGGAAAATTTAATAGCCCTATAATACTTCGAATTAACTGCAAGATTCACTAAAACATTGATTTTTAATACAAAGATACAAAATGGTTGTAGTCAATTTTATCACTCTAGTAAACATGCTGATCTCTGAAAATTAGTTAACAGAACCATATATTGAGAAAGGGCAAAGATTTGATTTTCAAAAACATCATATTCATAAAGACATAAACTATGTCAGCTGATGTGAGTAGAAAATTTAACCCTCATATGTTTCTTTCTGTAGCTACTTATATATTTACATATACTGACCTCCACAGGATTCTGAATGAATGTAAATAACTGACCCCCATTTATTTTCACTACATATTGAGCAACTGACCACAAAGATCATAGCAAGATGCTGACATACTCAGAGAGTTGGGATATATCCTTTTCACTTCATTTAGGCAGGCAGTAGGCTAAACATATATCTCAGCTACATCAGTGAATATAAATATTTCCCTTGCTGCCATGTTTCTGGTTGGGGGAAAGAATTTTACCACTGAAATGATAGTTTAAAAACACCAGAGTAAAGGAATAAGAATGGACTTGAGACTTTCCTGAAAATACTTTTTTACATAGTTTTGACTTCTGAACCATGTATATAATTTATATACTCACAAAATAAAGTGGATGAAAAAAGCAAACAAATGAAGCTAACTGTATTGTATAAGCAATTAATTACACAACCACACAGAATTCAAGCAACCTTTGAACACAGTACTGTGACTATACACCCTTAATGGGATACAGTCTAACAATAAGCAAACAAACAAACAAAAAGCTGCAAAAAACTTAGGTTTGAATTAGTAGTGGTATTAATATTCTACTGATACTATATTGGTATTTTGTGATACAGTAAGACAGAACAAATCATTAAATATATTGATGCTTCTGGAAACCAGGGTTTTTACTGAGCGAGAAAAGAGGTAGGAATATGGAAGAGAAGGAGATGGGAAAGAATCCTGTTATGCTGGATTTGAATTGGCAGCATCCATATGAATCCATGACTTGAAATAATATATGTATTTCCTAGCTCTGTCCACTGAAAGGACATAGAAGCAATGACACCACAGTAGCAATGAACATTACTAGCACCCAGATCTTGGTTTCCCCATTAAACAGAACCAGGCTCCTTGAAGAAATGACTTTTTCTAGTACCTGGGACAGGAAAAATAAGTATTTGGAACAGGAAAAATATAAGATGAGCCTTTCTCATCAGGCCAGAGGAAAAAAGAACTCAAAGACTAAGAAGGACAGGTTAAAAGAACATAAGAGCTTGAAGGCAAAATTTAGGACAATATGAGCACCGAATTTTTTTTTATTATAATGAATTATAACACTTTGAATTAAAATAAAAAAACAAAACCATGAGTCTCTACTGACACTTTATCAAAAGAGAGAAGGTGGAGCTCTTCTTTACATAAGAATGCCTAGCTAAAACATGTAGAAGGAATGACAGGTTTAGAAAATCACCATTTTGCAACTATCAGTGTAATAACTGATATAAGGTGAAGATCATCAATAGATGCTAAAAACACTGGGTAACAGTATATTTACATGGTCTCAAAGTATCAACCCATAGAATATACCTTTATGATGCAGAGGTCTGATGGACACCACCTTAACCAAATGATCAACTAGTAATGGTACAAAGTGGTATTTTGTGACTCCTAATATAATGAAATGGAAAGTAACAATTTCACCTATCTACTATTCTTGCCAAACTGTTTAACATGAATCTTATCATGAGGAAACAATCATACAAATTCAGATTATAAAACAGTTCTCAAGACAACTGGTGACCTGGATTCTTCAAAAATGTCAATCATGTAAGGAAAAAAAGGGCAAGAAAACTGTTCTAGGTTGAAAACTAAAAAGACATGAAAACCAAATGCAATGTATGATATTTCATTGGATCTTGAATTTAAAAACAAAATCAAAAACAAGAATAAAGGACATTCTGGGGACAATTAGGGAAATATGAAAATTGACTGTGTTGTATCAATATGAAGTTTCTTGAGTGTGATCATGTTATTGTGGTTATGTAGGATAAGGTCCTTGTTCTTAGGAGAGACACGCTAAAGTAATTAAGGGCAAATTGTCATGATGTCTACAGACTACTTTCTAACAGAACTCAAATTGTATTAGACACACAGGTGGTGTTAAGCAATTAGTAGTTGACAACTTTAAATTACTCGATAAAAAGAAAATGAAAATGAGAATTTAAACATTCTTTAGAAAATTAAAATAACATTTATAAGGTATTTTTATAAAAAATTGAAATCTTAAGTCACTGGACTCATATAAGAGTATTTCTAATTCCATTTCAGATATTCAACCAAGTGTTGAACACTTGCTAAATGCCAGGTATACATCTAGGTATGAAGGAACACTGAAGATATAAAAAGAATAAAGACATACCATAGTCTAATGTAAAAGAGAAACACATAAACAAATAATTATACAATAGCAACTATAGTAAAGAATCCAAATTTTTATTTTGTTTTTAATTTTCTTAGAAAAAACTAAAATTTATTCAAATAAGTATATTGCAATACTGTGTCCACATCCAAAATGTGTATTTTTATGCACTGGGTTGAAGGAATGCTATTTATTAGTATTCCTTTTGTTGATTAACAACTGGTAGATTTTATTTTAAAACTAAAATGTTGACTTTTTATGAGTCTGTTTGCTGGCACTACAGATACCTTCTAATTTGATTACTACATAGAATTATATTGAGGTAGAAAGTCTGAGTGCCTTAAAAGAAATACTAACCTGTGAGTCATTAATGACATGATTAGCCTCCAGCTGGATAGAAAATGTAACACCAAGTTCTGATGAAAACGATTTCATTGGTGATAACGTTCCAGATGTCAAAACAATTGTCCGAACTCTGTCATCAATATCTGAAAAGGCCTAAAAGGAAACAATATTTGGTACATAAAATCACGTTTAAAAGAGTCAAACACATTCATTCAATTATTAATATTGAGCAAGAGGAAAAAAATTTCATTCACAACATAACAGGCTTACCACAGCTGGATTTAAGCACCAAAAATTTAGCACATTAACTGCAGTTTTCTGTCGAGAACGTTTCTTATTTTTTGGTAGAGCAAAGAACCCGTTTCTATCTGAAATATCAGTCTGATTTATCCAAGAGTAAGTCTGTTGAATAGCAACTTTATAATCATCTGCAAATCTAGACGAAAAAGAAAATGCTAATAGTGAAACTTTATAACATATAATATCTCACCTACATACAATATAAAAACTGATTATATTAAAATTCAATTGACATTCAAAGATAACATTCTCCCCACCAATAACCCCTACAACTAATTAAATTCAGTAATTCTGATATAAATTAAGCATTAAATCATAAAATCAACTCACTCTTAGAGGGAATACTAGAAATCATCTCATCTAACCATTCATCCCTTATTACCCACTTCCCATCCCCATTTTTCAAACAGAATTAAAACCCAGACCTCTTAACTCCCTCTCCAGAGCTCTTTGTACTGTATGTTATGTGGTTAGTTACAAAATAGAAGACAATATCACTGTTAAAGAAACTAAAATGTGGGGTTTTTCTATTTCATGATAAAATGGAAAGAGTTTTTTAGGGAAGTTAAGAAAGTTTTAGGAGCTAATTATAAAATTTTACAGGTCTTTTAAAATCTGGGTCACAGTTTTCTTCTATCTTTAATGAAGAAATTTTAATGAACCAGATGATCTCTGTGATCCCATCTAGTTCATAATGTCTTTCAGTAAAGGGTATAAACATCTAGGCTTAAACAGAATAAAAAGTGGTATTCTGCATATTATCCTCATTATAATATTTCACTGCTAATTTCACCTCTGGATAGATCAGATCTCAACATTCAGGTCAAGTACTCAACAATCTATGGACAGAATTTTATAAAAATACTAGAACCAGGTAGTACTCTAATTTAAGTTGCCATCGAGTCAATGTGCTGTAGGGTAGAACTGCACTCCGCAGGGTTTTCAAGGCTGTGACCCTTCGGAAGCAGATCACCAGACTTAAGGTTCCTCTGAATGGGTTCAAATCGTCAATCTTTCTGTTAGTAGTCCAGCAGTTAACCATTTACACCACCGAAGAACTCTTAAGGGGTAACATACAGGAAACTGACTGCTTTTCATTTTCCACTACACGAAACAGAGGCTTCATACAACAGGAAAGAGACATCCTGACACTGGAAAAAACAAATCTAGACCATATTTAAAAGAAAATTCATAGCCTTTAATGCTTAAATTTAGTACTGGAGCACCATGAATTCAATGCTGAATTAATTCAATGTATTAATTTAGTGATTTCAATACTCATTTTCATTAATAAAGACTAATTTCAATTGATTTGAGACCAATAACAAACACATTATCATTATCTATACCACTTATGATTCTCCTACTTACTCAACCACTAGTATGCAATAAACGCATGTTAGCACCCAATTAGGCTAATATTTTTAAGAAGAAAAATACAGATATCTTCACTTACCTGCTATTTTGCCTAAAAAGATAATCAAGTACCATAAAAAGTCCTTTGAGCATTATTTGAGTTGAAGCACTAATAACAGGTATTTCTCTTGCTTCCTCCTTACTATGAATTGATGAGACTTTTTCTTCTTTTTGAAGGACAGCAGAAAAATGTCCCTATAAGAAATTACCATATTAAGTACAAGTTGGCAGGGGGGGACTTCTCAAAACTATAATAAAACCCAAATGAAATATTCATTGAAATTGTAGGTGAACATCATTAATAGACAAGTACCTACAATGCACTCTGGATTCCCATATAAGCCAAATTCTCCTCAGAGTTAAAAACACTTTAATAAGTTAGACATTTAGGAGGTTCGCTACTTCTTTGTGCAATCAGGATATTATTTAGCGCCCTTCAAAAATAATGAACTACATAAAAATGTACCAAATGGTTTCTCCAAGGGCTTAAAAGTGATGATGTGCCATCATAAATGCCAAATTATCTCCTAGGAGTAACTCTAATGCTAAGAACAATGTGACTATATGACAAGCAAAATGAAAAAAAATGACACAAGGAAATACTATATGCTAAATACAAAATGTATGCTAACTGGCTCATTAGTTTTAACATGGCTCATAAAGTTTTACTATGGATGGAGGCGTGGACAATTATTTAGGACAAACAGAAGAAATCAAAAGTATGCTTCCCCACACTGTAAAGGAGAAAAATGAATAATGAAGCAATAACAGAGATTAGTACAATTCTTATGTTTGACAATAAAATATACGTTCAACGAAAATAAAGTGGGAAAATAAGTGAGTCAGATAAACTTCAATCTTCAGATATATTGTGAAATAATATAAATCTGTAAAACTAAAAATCAGTCTCCACTGAACAAAACATTAAAGAAAACAAATAGCAACATTTTCAAAAAGAAATTAAAAACAAAAGAGAAAGAGACAACATGAACTTGGAAAAATATTCAGCCCCGCAAATTTTTAATGAAATACAAGTATCAAACTGCTCTTTTTTAAAAAATCAAGTCCCCTCAGCGGCATCTTTCATCTAGGCTACTATTTCTCTCCAACAGTGGCAGAACACTGGAAATTTACTCTATTAAGCTACAGAGACACTGAACTATTGAAAGTGAGGCATTGTACTGAAAACAGAAGGACTAAATTAAATTCTATATACTGAATCATGAGACTACTCCCAGTTCACGTCCAGCAAGGTTTCCTGAACACTGGCAGCTAGGATGGGGAATAAATAGAAAACTAAGTAAAAAAGAAAAACTCATTTAATTATTACTCCATAGGAAACATAAAGTTGTCTAAAAATGTAATCAAGTAAGTTACATGATTTTACTATCCTAAGTTATGATGATATATACATATGATAATGTACACACTGAATACTGATATAACTAAGGCTGAGAAAACAGAGAATGGAGAAAGCAAAGGAGGGAGGGAGAGAAGCAGCAAAGGGGTAGAGAAGGAAGAAAATGTTCTCAGTAGAGAACATCTCAAGTGGAAAACTCAAGACTAGCAGAACCTACATGTTATTTAGAAAAATGAAACCACTCTGAGAGTTGAAAGTGGCGCTAGGAACTGAAAATTAGGAGTAAGAAAGAGTGGGGCTAAAGGATGCTTTTCTTATGAGAATTAACTGACTCTAAATTATGTATGTATATTCCTTTGGTAAAAATTTAATTTAAAAAATTCAATAACCATAATGATAAAATTTTAGCTAACCAGGATCAGAGGAAATTTTCTTAACCTCATAAAAAACATCTATAAAAAACCTACAGCACTCATGGAATGGGAGAACCTTGAAAACATTATGCTAAGTGAAAGAAGCCAGTCACAAAAGGCTACGTATTGTGTTTTTTCATTTATATGAAATGTCCTAACTAGGCAAATCCAATGAAACAGAAAGTACACTTGTAGTTTCAGGGAGTGGCAAAAGATAAAATGGGGAGTGACAGCTAATGGGTATAAAGTTTCTTTTGAGGGTGATGAAAATGTTCTGAAATTAGACAGTAGTAATGGTCGCAAAATTCTGTGAATATACTTAAAACTACTGAATTATATACTTTAAAAGGATGAATTTTATGGTATCTGAATTATATCTCAACAACAAAAAAAGAAACCTGTTACTATCAAGTCGATTCTGACTCATAGCGACCCTATAGGACAGAGTAAAACTGCTCCATAGGGTTTCCAAGGCTGTAATCTTTACAGAAGCAGCCCTGGTGTCACAATGGTTGAATGCTCAGCTGCTAACCGAAACGTTGGTGGTTCAAACCTACCAGCCACTCCATGGGAGAAAGATGTGGCAGTCTGCTCCTATAAAGATTACAGCAACGGAAACCCTATGGGGCAGTTCTACTCTGTCCTATAGTGTCTCTATGAGTCGGAGTCGACTTGAAGGCAATGGGTTTTCTGAATCTTTACAGAAACCGACTACCACATCTTTCTCCCACAGAATGGCTGGTGGCTTTGAACCACCAACCCTTTTGTTAGCAGCCGAACAATAACCGCCGTGCCACCAGGACTCCTATATTTCAACAAAGCTGTTAATAAAACAACATTGAATTAAAAAAAAAAAAAAAAAAACCTACAGCAAACATCTTAGTTAAGGATGTAACACTAGTAATGTTCCTTTTAAAGTAAGAAACAAGACAAGGATGTCTATATCACTGTATGTGATCAACATCGTACAGGCAGTTTTAACCATCATAGTAAGAAATAAAATGTGAAAGAATTGGAAAAAAATAAAACGGTCATTGTTCATAGACAATATGATTACCTCCAAAGAAAATTTAAGATAATCTATGGACAAAATTATAAGATAATTGAACAAGGTGGTTGCCTACAAGATTGCAGTTGTTGTAGTTGACTGCAGTCAAGTCAATTCCAACTCATGGCGATTCCATGCCCCATGCGTGCAGAGTAGAACGGCTCCACAAGGTTTTCAAGGCTGAGACCTTCTGGAAGTAGATTGCCAGGCCTGTCTTCCAAGGCATCGGGGGAGAGGGGGTTGAACCACCAACTTTCAGCTAGTAGTCAAGCATTTAACCGTTTGCAACACCCAGGAACTCCTGGGTAAGGAACTAAAAATCAACTATCCTTCTTATATATATACTAATAATAATTATAAAATGCAATTTTCAAAATATACCATTTGTAATAACAACAGAAACTTTAAGTTATGTAGGAATAAATCTAATCAAAAATATCTGAGACTTTAAAAAATAAAATCATAAAATTTTATTGAAAGACATATAGGAAGAGCTAAACAAATGAAGAACTCTATCTTGTTTATGAATGGGAAAGCTCCATATTGCAAAAAACATCAATTCTTCCCAAATTAATCCATAAATCTATGCAATTCCAATCAATATTCCAACACAATTTTTCATGGGAATCTAAAACTTAATTCAAAAATTCAAATGGCTGCGTAAGGCTAAGAAGAGCCAAGATAATTCTGAAGGAAAAAACAAGGTGAGTATATCTGCATTTTTCTAAGGCTAACTACTAAATAAGAAAATTTAGAATTGTACAAAGACAGATAAGCAGATCCACTGAACAGAATAAAGTCCAGAAATAAATCCACACATACATGAAAATCAGATATGCAGCAGTGGTGGCATTACAAATTAGAGAGAAATAGATGGACTACTTAGCAAATGGTGCTGGGATAATTCAACTATTCATATAGGGAAAAAAATGGATTCCTTACTTCACAATATTAACAAACATAAATTGCAGGCTGATTGAAAATCTTTATTAAAAGACTTTAAAACTTTTAGAAGAAAATATAGCACAGGGTAAGGAAATATTGCTTAAAAAACTAAACTGAAAAAGCACAATCCATACAGGAAAAAGACTGACAAATCTGAATGCACTAAAACTAAAAACCTTTGAAAAAAATACCCTAAATAAGCACACAAGCCATAGACACAAGAATGTACATGCAACACAATAACTGACAAAGCATTAGTACTTAGGGTACTATAAAGAAATTAATCAAGATAAGTACAATGCTATACTTTCAAGGATGTTCATATCAGAATTGTTTATTATACTGGGAAAACCAGCAACAATTTAAACTTCAAATACTAGATTAATCAAATAATTTAGAGCATGAGCACTCACAAAAACACTATATTACAATTAAAAAGCATGTGAAAGAATGTTATTAAAATAGAAAAATCCGTTGTTATCGTTGTTGTCGTGTGCCATTAAGTCGATTCCAATTCATAGTGACCCTATCGGACAGAGTAGAACTGCCCCGTAGGGTTTCCTAAACTGTCATCTTCATGGGAGCAGATCACCAGGTCTTTTCTCCTGCAGAGCTTCTGGTGGGTTCAAACTGCTGACCTTTCGGTTAGCAGCCAAGTACTTAACCACTGCGCCACCAGGGCTCCTAAAATAGGAAAGTAGCCATAATATATTGTTAAATGAAAAGAAGCTACAAATAAACATGTATCACATCAGAATTACAACAAGCAAATATATGCATAGAAGAAGGCATGGGTAGACATAAAATGCTAACAGTGGTCATATTTGGGTTCAGGAGTCATTTTTTTTCTTTGTTCCTTTCTGGATTTTCCAATCTCCTCTGAACATAAATTTTATTTGTACATTTTTTATTAAAGTATAATATTTACAGTAGACTTAAGTGTACAGCTCATTAAACATATATACATACATGAACATACACCCACGTAACAAACATCCATTCAAAATACAGAACATTCCTAGAATCCCAGATGGTTCTCTTGTGCCCCTTCCCAGCACAAACTCTCCCCCACCAAGTGGTAACTGTATTTAGACTTCCATCACCATAATTAGGTTTGTATGTTCTTAAATTTCATAAAAATGAAATCATACAGTTTGTACTCTTTGGTATCTGGTTTCTTTCACTCAACATTAGTATGTCTGTAAGATCTGTCTATACTGTTCTAGTGGTTGTGGTTCATTCTTTTTTATTACTCTATAGTATTCCACTTTACACACCACAGTTGACTACAATTTATTTATCCATTTTATTGTTGGTATGACTAATTTTTAAAATGTAAAAGGTTTATGCAAAAAAGATTATGAAAAGATGTCACAATATGGAAAAATACTTATAATACCACACGGTATTAAAAAATGCAAGACAAAAATCATGAGTACAGTCTGTTTAAAAAATAGTTTTTTAATATTCACATGCCCAGAATGCTAGTAGTAATTATGTTAGGAACAATTCTTACCTTTTGATTCAAAAATCTCTTAGAGAATAGGATGAAAGTTATAAAACCTCTATCCAGAAAAATGTACAAAAGTACATATTCATCAAATTATGCACACACCATCATAAGTTTCACAGTATACCAAAGCCCACTCATGAACTCTATCTATGAACCCCAGGTTTATAATCTCTAAAATAAGGTAAACAAAATATAAATTTCCTATCTCCTTTTTATTTTTCAAAATTTTAACATATTACTTTTGTAACTGACAAAAATAATTTCTAACCTAAAACTGTTGACATCTTGTAGCTCTGAACAAAGCAATTAATCTCTTTAAGTTTTATTTCAAACTAAATAATGCTAATTTTTTCAACCATAATTTGCCATCACTTAAAGATTACCAAAATAGAGAATAAAATTTGAAGACAATTAAATCGCTAGATTTTTAAATCACTTCTAATCCACTATATGAATTTCACAGCTGAAAAAAAATTACCTGCAAAATGGGAAAAGTAGCAGAAGTGATGCCCATTTTGTGTAAATGAATGATCATTTCATTTCCACTCCATATTTTACAGGATGATTCATAATCCCTTTCTACAAGATGTTTAGAGTTAACTTCTAACCAACTAGAATAAATGAAACAACAATATCATCAATAATTGCCATTATTGTCATACATTGATCCATATTCCTTGAAGCTCTTAGGACACCAATGTTGATTAATTAAGAAACCTTTAAAAAGCATGTACTTCTCATACAGCAAAATAAATATTTATACAGCTAAAAAAGTAAGCTTTTATTCAGAAGAGAGAAACACACGTGATTTCCCAACTGTGTTTTGTGAATTCATGCTGCTTCATTTGACTAGTCTCCCCAAATAATAACCTTTAACTGAGACCGAGGCCTTAGGAGCTTATACCAAATGCACGTAAAAGGAAATGCAAAAGAACCTAGTGAAGAAATTAAAGTGTTACATATTAACACACAAAAGAGAACTACTAAAAATATATAAATACATTCATCAATGTATACACACATACATACATTCAATAAGTGTTTGAGTCTCTATGCCAAACATTGTTCTGGATAGCAGTAAATAAAATAGGCAAGGTCTCTATGCTCATGGAAATTACATTCTAATAAAGGGAAACAGAAGTAAACACAGAAAACAAAAACATAAACAAAGTATAAGGTAGAGATAAGCAATATAATGAAGATAAATTAGGGTAATGTAACCTAATTGCTACTTTAATTCGAATGTTCAAGGAAGCTCTCCCTGAGAAGATACTGCCTAACAATTGAACACAAAAAGTAGCCAGTTGTCATGGATTGAATTGTGTCCCCAAAAAATATGTGTCAACTTGGTTAGGCCATGATTCCCAGTATTGTGTGACTGTCCTCCATTCTGTGATTGTAATTTTATGTTAAAGAGGATTAGGATGGGATTTTAATACCCTTACTAAGGTCACATCTCTGATTCAATGTACAGGGAGTTTCCCTGGAATGTGGCCGGCACCACTTTTTATCTTACAAGAGATACAAGGAAAGGGAAGCAAGCAGAGAAGGGAAACCTCGTACCACCAAGAAAGCAGCCCCGGGAGCAGAGCACGTCCTTTGGACCCCGGGCTCTTTCGTGAAGAAACTCTTAGTTCAGGGGAAAAATGATGAGAAGGACCTTCCTCCAGAACCGACAGAGAAAGTCTTTCCCTGGAGCTGATGCCCTGAATTTGGGCTTCTAGCCTACTAGACTGTGAGAAAATAAATTTCTCTTTGTTAAAGTCATCCACTTGTGGTATTTCTGTTATAGCAGCACTGGATGACTAAGACACCAGTCATAGGAGGATCAGGAAAAAGAGCATTCCAAGCAGAAGAAACAGGTAGTGTAAAGATCTTGAAGTAAGTTAAAAAAATTTGCTTCTTCAAAACCTGAAAGAAAGCCAGCGTGGCTGCAGTACAATGGGCAAAAAAGAATAATTGTACGAACAGTGTTAGACGGATAAGCAGGAACCAGATCATGTTAAGCCAGGATAAGGAATTTCGATTCTAATACTTAAGTACAATGGAATGGCTTTAAATGCAGGATTCTGAATAAGGGGGAGAGAATCTATTTTAAATTTTTAAAGATGACTCCAGTTTCTAAATGAGAATGGATTATAGGAGAATGGCAAGAGTGACAGAAAGAGGCCTGTTAGGAGGCTATTACAGTATTCTAGGTGATACATGATTTTAGAACGATAGATAAGGAGACCAAAAGAAATGAGGGATTTTCGATACATTGTGCAGGCGACACCTATAAGATTTACTTATGAAGTAGATGAGGTGAAGCAGTAATCAAGGATAACACTTAGATTTTTTACCGTTTGTTTAGATGGGGAAGATAGGGAGAAAATAGTAGATAGGGAATGGGAAGGAGATCTCTTTTGGTTTGGACGTAAAGTTGAAATGTCTATCTGATATCCAAACAGAGATGTAAGTAGACAGGTGGACATATGGGAATGGCACTACAGGGAAAGGACAGGGCTAGAGACAGATTTCGGCCTCTCTAATATTGCAGATTATATCGAGGCTGTGACACAGGGTTATGTAATTTAGGGAAAGTGCAGAGCTACAAAAAAAAAATGGTCTCAGGACCAAGTCTTGATGCACTCCAACATTTAAACATCAAACTGAATAAGAAGATCAAGAGAAATTGAGAAAGAATGGCCTATGAAGGAAGAGGAAAACCAGAAGATGCCACGGCAGCCCAGACAAAAATGCTTTTCAAGGCAACGGTAGCTAACAACGTCTAACACTTCTGAGAGACTGACTATGGTGAGAACAGAAAAATAACCTTTGGATTTGGCCATATAGAGTTCACTGGTGACCCAGTTAAGAAAAGTTTCAATAGAATTACACAAACGGTAGCATTACTGAGATGATGAGGAAGGACATAGAGTGAAAAAATAGACTCAGCAACTATAGACAAGTCTTGGCAAAAACACCATAAAAAAAGACACATAATAGATGGAAAAATGAAGGAAAAGGTATTTGCAACCCTTATCACAGGCAAAGGGTTAACTTCTCTAAAACATAAAAAGCTTCTAAAAATCTATTTTAAAAAGACCCGTAACAACAAGAAAAACAAAAAACGGCAGAGATGTCAGAAGTTGACAGAAAAGGAAATATAAATGGCTCCTACACCAGCCACCACCCACTGCCGTCACGTCGATTCTGACTCATAGCAACCCTATAGGACAGAGTAAAACTGCCCCATAGAGTTTCTAAGGAACGCCTGGTGGATTCGAACTGCCACCTTTTGATTAGCAGCTAAACTCTTAACCACAACGCCACCAGCTTAATCTCACTCATACTAAGAGAAATGTAAATGAAAACCACACTGGGATACCATTTTTCACCAAGCAGGCTAGAAAAAAACAACTCTTATACATTAGTCATAAAAGTATAAATTAGTCCCCAAATCATCCACATACAGTGTAAATTTTAGCAATATCTATCAAAATTACCAATACATCTTTGCTTCAATCCAACAATTCCAATTTTAGGAATTTTCCTATAGATATACATGCACACATATGAAACACTGTATGCTCAAAGTTATTCATTACAGCAATGTAATACCAAAAGACTAGAAACAACCTTAAGATCTATTTAACAGAGGTGAGTTAAGTAAATTATTATACATACATACAGTGGAATTCCAGGCAACTGTTTTTAAAACTGTTAAAGCTCTTCAGGGCTTGATATGGAAAGATCTGCTATATGGCTAAGTAGAAAAAAGCAAGACACAGAAAAATATATGTATAGTATGCCATCATCTGGGTAAAAAAGGAGATAACAGAATATATCTATATTGGCTTAAATATGCATAAATATGCACTAAATGATAAGTTTGTTTATGGGGATAGGAACTAAGCAGATGGGGAATTGGATGGGAAGATTCTTATTGCATAAATTTGTGTGCAGTTTATGTTCAAACCACGTGACCGTACAACATTCAAACTTTTGATATATTCTTTTAAAGTGTACTGTGAGGAACAAAAAAATGCTGTAGTAAATGAAATTGGATGTGGGCTTACCAGAGGTTTTTCCTAAAATAAGAAGATTCTAGATCACAACCTACTGTCTAATGATAGGGAAATTATCTAATGTAACTTTTAATAAAATTAGAACTAAATTTCTTGTTTTAGATTATTGAAATCTTGTTTAATTGAAACCCATTAATCAGAATCCTACTCAAAATGGAGGACAAAGCAATAAATTAAAATCATAATCCAGGGGGCGGGGCAAGATGGCGAAGTGAGTAAATACTCCTGTTTATTGTCCCAGCAACTAACACACTGAACAATGAATAAAAACAAGCACAGACTGAAATCTCAGAAATCCAGACAGCAGCTGAGGTATTGGAGAGTTGGGATGAGTCCCGACGCAGGGAAGAGGAAGAAAGGTGTTGGTACGGAAGCCAGGAGATCTACCCGCTAAAATCGGGAAAGCTCACTCATCACAGCCATTTTGGGACGGGGCTGGGTAACACCTCAAACAGAGAACACAGAAAAGAAGCTAATCTGAGGAAGCTCTATCCTGAATTTTTTTAAGGCGGTGCAAATTGGCCATGGGAGTTCGCAGGCTGTGCAACTGGGAGGGGGTGAAGGGAGACCGTGGCGTTGCATGAGAGTGCTGTTGAATCTTACTGAGGCCCGAGACGGATGAGCACTAGGACCAGGAGGAACTGCAACGACAGCAGGGCAAAAGGAATACTTCAAATTGTCAGACGACACAGCAACAACCCACAGGGGGGACACCATGGGAGTGTCTGTGCAGGAGAGCTGGTGAGGAAAAGAAATAGAGAGCCCCCCACGGTCACCACAGGAAAGTCAAGCTCCACCACTTACGTCAGCGTCTGCGAACAGCTAAAACCCTCCCTCTTGGGCATGCATACTAACTTCAAAGACTAAGCATCCAGAATTCCTGAACCAGCACTGAAAAAAAGCCTAAGGATAAGAGTGCCATGTAGTGGTTCTCAGGAGAAGATACCAAGCCTGCTGGCCACTGGGTCATTCTTACTTATAGCAAACCTGCCAACCTGGTGGCTGAGGGGAGCTGCCCCGCGGGGATCCCAGGGCTGTGAGTCTTTGCTGATGTGGTCTGTCACATTTTTCTCCCGTGGAGCAGCTGGTGGGTGTGGGCCCTGGCCTTGTGGTTGGCAACTGGGCGCTTGGTTACTGCATCACCAGGGTGCCCAATCAGAAAATTCCCCAAAATAAGCAGAATACAAAATTTAAAACAAAACAAAAAAGACAACAACATAGCCCAAATTCAATAAAAGATAGTAAAACACAAAATCACAAGGGAAGAAGGAAAACTCAAAAGAACTTGAAAAAGAGGAAATCTCTCCTATAGAGGCCAAGATAATGCAAAAAAATTGATAATTTTCAGACTATGGTGCTAAATATGTTTAAAGAAAGCAAAAAGCACACAGAAAACAAAATAACAGAGATCAGGAAACAAATGGAGGAACAAAATGAGAGGCTTAACAAGGAAACTGAAAACATCACCCCCACCCCCCAAAAAAAACCCACAAAGAGAACTACCTAAACCAGGCAAAGTCATCACAAAAAAGAAAGTTGCAGACCAATATCACTTGTGAATACAGATGCAAAATTTTTCAACAAAATTGTACCCAATAGTTTCAGCAACATATCAAAGAAGCATACACCATGATCACGTAGGATTCACAGGATTACAAGGGTGGTTCAACATTAGAAAATCAATCAATGTAATCCACCACATAAATAAAACAAAGGAAAAGAACCATATGATCATATCAATTGATGCAGAAAAGGCATTCGATACATTCAACACTCTTTCCTGATAAAAACACTCAGTAAAATAGGAATAGAAGGGAAATCCCTCAACATAATTAAGGGCATATATGCAAAATCAACAGCCAACATTATACTCAACAGAGAAAGACTGAGAGCCTTCATTTTGAGAACAGGAATGAGATAAGGATGCCTATTATCACTGCTCTTATTCAACATTATACTGGAAGTCCTAGACAGAGCAATAAGACATTAAAGCAAAATAAAAGGTATCTGAATTGGAAAGGAAGAAGTAAAATTATCTCTGTTCGCAGATGACAAGATCTTACACATAGAAGACCCTAAAGACTCCACAAGAAAACTGCTGGAACTAATAGAAGAATTTAGCAATGTTGCAGGGTACAAGATCAACACACAAAAATAAGTTGGGCTCCTCTACACTAACAAAGACTACTCCGAAAAAGAAATCAAGAAAACAACACCATTTACAATAGCCCCCAAATCAATAAAAACCTAGGAATTTACCTAACCAGCCACACAAAAGACTTATACAACGAAAATTATAAAACACTACTACTAGAGACTGAAACAGACCTACAAAAACGGAAACATATCCCGTGCTCATGGATTGGAAGATTTAATATAGAGAAAATGTCAGTTCTACCTAAAATGATCTACAGATGCAATGCAATCCTGATACAAATCCCAACAACATTCTTTACTGAAATGGAAAAACTAACGACCAACTTCATATGGAAAGGAAAGAACCTTCAAATAGCCAAAACAATATTTAAGAAAAAGAACAAAGCAAGAGGCCTCATACTCCCTGATATCAAAACATACTCTACAGCCACTATAATCAAAACAGCCTGGTATTGGTTATAGACATATAGACCAGTGCAATAGAATTCAGAATTCAGAATTAAACCCAACCATCTAAAGACAACTGATTTTCAACAAGGGTCAAAGTCCATTCAGTGGGACAGAAACAGTCTCTTTTAATAAATGGTGCTGGCAAAACTGGATAGCCACCTACAGATAAATGAAGCAAGACCCTTACCTCACACCATACACAAAAACTAACTCAAAATGGATCAAAGACCTAAATGTTAAAACCATAAAATTCCTGTAAGAAAACATAAAACTCCTAGAAGAAAATATAGGGAGAAAAGTCTGGGACTTAATATTTTGTAAAAATAGGATAACAAACATTACAACAAATACATGAATAGAAGAAGACATAATAGATAAAATGGGCCTCATAAAAAAATAAAAACTTACGCACATCAAAAGACTTTATTAAAAGAATAAATAGACAACCTACAGACTGGGAAAAAATCTTCGAAAACAACTTAGTCTTTGAAAACAACTTATCCAATAAGGGTCTAATCTCTAAAATCTACAGAAAACTGCAACAACTCAACACCAATAAGACAAACAACCCAATCATAAAATGGGCAAAGGACATGAACAGAACCTTCACCAAAGAGGACATCCAAGCAGCCAACAAACATATGAAAAGATGTTCATGATCATTAGTCATTATAAAGAAAAAAGCCAAACCTATTGCCATCGAGTCGATTCCAACTCATACCGACCCTATAAGACAGAGTAAAACTGCCCCACAGGGTTTCCAAGGAGTGGCTGGTGGATTCGAACCACCAAACTTTTGGTTAGCAGCCAAATGCTTAACCACTGTGCCACCAGAGATGCAAATCAAGACTACAGTGAGATAATATCTTACCGCAGCTAAAATAGCACTGATTAAAAAAAAATAGTAACAACAAATGTTGTGAGGATGTTGGAAGACTGAAACTCTTATCCATTGCTGGTGGGACTGTAAAATGGTATAATCACTATGGAAAACAGTATGGCGCTTTCTCAAAAAAAGAGAAAGAGAACTACCCTATGATCCAGCAATCCCACTCCTAAGGATATACCCCAGATACCTAAAAATAATAATACAAACATACATATGCACACTTATATTCATAGCTGCTTTATTCATAACAGCAAATAAATGGTAACAACCAAAGTGCCCATCAACGGATGAATGGATAAGCAAATTGTGGTACGTACGCACAATGGAATATTATGTAACCATAAAAAACGATGAGTCTGGGAAATATAACATGGATGGAACTGAAGGGCATAATGCTAAGCAAAATAAGTCAAGTATATAAGGACAAATACTGTATGATCCCTCTTTTATAAGAAGACAAGAATAGATAAATATAGAGATCAGTGTTCACTGGTGGTTACCAGGAAGAGGAGGGGGTGGGGAAAGTATGCTTTATACTGTAGAGACTAGTTATTTTTGGTGACAGAAAAAGTGGCACCGAATGTGGAGGTAGTGAGCACAGCACAATTAAAGTAAAAAACGAGTGTTTGAGCACATATGGATGGGTATAGGCAAATTGATATACGAGTAGGTATAGCGGTACACTTAGCTGGAAAAGATAGAAGTATCTATAGGTACATATAAATACAAATATGTGGGTGCCGGCCCATACAGTCATTGAAGACACATATATAGATACTTCTGGAACATAACCAAACACCTTCAAAGACTGGTTTTAGAGATTTGAAGTCTTGAGACCATAGTCTCATGGGACAACTCTGTCAATTGGCATAATAGAGTTCATAAAAATCATGATCTGAATCCTAATGAAGTGAGTAGCATCTGGGGTCTTAAAAGCTTGTGAGCAGTCATCTAAGACACAACTACAGGTCTCTACTCACTAGGAGTAAAACAGTAAGAAAGCAATCAAAAGCTCAGAGAAGCAACAAGTCTACATGAGCCATACAACTTCATCTACCCTGAGACCCGAAGAACTAGATGGTGCCTGGCTACCACCACTGACCCTTCTAACCAGGGTCACAATAGTTGGTCCTGGATAGAATGGGAGAAAAATATGAAGCGGAACTCAAATTCTTATTAAAAAAAAAGACAAAGACAAACTGGCTCAGAAGATGAGGAGATAAGGGGGCAAGGAAGCTAGAGTACTGGAAGTGGAACAAACAGAACATAATTAAAGAGAATGTTAACACATTATGATAAAAGTAAAAAAAAAAAAAAAAGCTATAATCCTGAATTTTAAAATAATGTTACCTAAAACCTTGGCCAGTTTATATCCAACTCAATGGCCTATACATATCCTATGGGGCTATTAAATTATCCTGCTAAATTAGGAATAAGATTCACAATTATCAATAAAGAATTAGTTATGTTCATTATAATAACTGAATAAAATAAAAGTTAGACTAGCCTTCTTTTAAAAGTTTAATTGGTAACAAACAACTCATTTTCCAAGTAGCCTAGTTAATCAAAGTTTACTAACTTTAAAATACTCTGAAATAATAAAACATGTTTTTAATACAGAGGCAGCACAAATGACACTGATAGACAAATGTTCTTACTTAATGAGACTATAGCACACAGCTCGGAGAGGATCATGGTCTTTCTTTCTTATATTATTGTTTACCATACTATCTAGTTCATCTCGAGCAAACCAAAGTTGAACTTCTGTTATACTGTAACTTGCTGATTCCCGAGCACAGTCCTCAATATTATGAGCTTCATCTAAAATGACAACCTGTTCTTTCAGATTGATATCCATCTGTAAGATAAAGAGAATTTTCCTGTAAAACATTCAGCCAAAGGCATTGCCTAATTTAATAGCCACAGGCAAGATATTTTATTTAAAATTTTACATTATAAGCCAATATTGCAAGTGTCAATCATATAAGCCACTGATTCTAGGTCTTAAAATAAAACTTCTGAAGCACTAGGGCCAACCAAATAATATCTGCTCAACATTAGTGTTTCCAATTTTCACTCTCAAAATACTCTGCAAGCCTATCAACCAAAAAATATGTGTTACTTGAGCCTCGATCAAGGCACTGCTGGCTATATAACCAATCAGTTGCCGTCAAGTCGACTCTGACTCATGGCAAACCCATGTGTATCAGAGTAGGGCTGTACTTTAGAGGGTTTTCAATGGCTGATTTTTAGGAAGTAAATCACCGGGACTTTCTTCTGAAGCATCTTTTGGTGGACTCAAACCTCCAACTTTTTGGTTAGCAGCTGAGCATGTTAACCAGTTGCAATACCCAGAGACTCTGCTGACTACATAAAGAGGTATAAAAATCCCACTATGATGGAGTCTCCAACATCATTTTTAAAACACAGTATAAAACCTTTAAAACTAAAATAACAACACAACATTCAAATGCGTCTCAAAATATTAATACGGTGAAGTATTATCCGTTTCATTTTAGTCCGTCCTGCCACTCTTCTTTATGAGAATTGCTCTTTCCCAACCCCCACATGATGCTGGTAGAGCTATTAATCTGCTAATCAAGGGACATCACCACTCTCACAACAGCAGTAGGCTCATAACCCATCCCTCTGTGGTCACAGTGACTGGTTCAGGAATGGATATGTGACCCAAGCTAGGGCAATCAGAGTAATTTTGTGGGTCACTATGAGTTGAAATCAACTCAATGGTAACTAACAACAATACGAGATCATGTTCTTTTCTCTAGGTTAGCTAGTTGTTCATGGTTATCTTTGTTCCCACAGGGAAAGAGATTGCCTAAGAATACAACCATCACAAAGAAAGTAGAGTCAAGTGTCTTTTCTTAAGCTCTTTTTAAGTTGTTTGTGTCACTTGGCAACTGAAAGAGCCCTGACTAATACAACAAGGAAATGTCACAAAGCAATTGCCAATGAATTATTTTGAGGAAGTAATAATACACAGAGGGCTGAAGATGACTGAGAAACAACCAAGGAAAATTAGGAAGTATACTAGGGTTTAAAAGATGGGTAGGATTTGGATAGACAAAGAGAGGGCAGGGCATTTCAACAGAGGTGTCATCAAAAGCAAAGAAATAGGAAAGAACAAGGAATCCTCAAAAGATTATAAAGGAGTTTTTGAAAGGTTCAAGTTAGAGTTTTGTAGCAGCGAAGGTTAAAAGGGCAGATCGAGATCAGACTATTGAACACCTTGAATGTAAGCTTAAGAAATAGGAACTCTATCCCATGAGCAAAGTGAGCAATTGGAGATTTTTATGCAGGGGAACGATGTAACAAAAGTAGTATTAGGAAGATTTATCTGGCATTGGTATGTACAATGATTCAGAGTGAAAAGACCTAGTTAAGAGGCAACCAAGTAAGCGGTAGGATAGTAAGGTAATGGACATTGTTGTTGTTGTTGTTGTTGTTATTGTTAACTGCCATGGAGTTGGCCCTTGACTCGTGCCGACCCCATGCACAACAAACCAGTGTGCTCCATAGAGTCTGGCTGATTTTTGGGAAGCAGAACACCAGGACTTTCCTCTAGTCCATCTTAGTCTGAAAACACTGCTGAAACCTGTTCAGCATCAGAGCAACACACAAGCCTCAAATGACAGATGGGTGGTGGCTGTGTTTGAGGTGCACTGGCCAGGAATTGAACCCAGGTCTCCCGTATAGAAGGCAAGTATTTTACCACTGAATCACCAGTGCCCCAAGGTAATAAACATAATGCCTATTCTTTTTGAGCTTAAAAAAACAGAAAGCTAGTAAGAGTTATGCAGTAAATAGTAAAAAGAGAAGTAACAACTGAATATACCAAGTGCCTTATTTTTTGTCTTATGCTGTAACAAATGGATATCTCTAAGATAAACCAGGCAAATAAACACAAATGCTATATCAGAAGTTTACTTCTCAAAAGCCCACAAAGCATAATTTGCACATGTGTGTATATTCTCCCAATATAAGTTCTTCAAAACATAGTTTCTTCAGGCAACTCTTTCAAAATAATTCTTTCTACCATTCATAAATGGAAAGAGTTATAGTTTAATGGGTCTCAACTGGGAGCAATTTTGCCACCTCCACAACCTTCCCCCACCCCCACCCCCTTCCCCGAGGACATTTGGCAATATCTGAAGACATTTTTGATGTTACAACTTGTGAGGGTGCTACTGGTATATAGTGTGTAGAGGCAAGGATGCTACTAAACATCCTACAATACACAAGACAACCCATCACAAGAAAGAATTATCTAGCACAAAATGTGAATAATGCCAAGGCTGAGAAAATCTGCTATAGTCTCCCTTCAGTCATTGGGTCCTTAAAAATACTTATTATTCTGGAAATTAAAATAACTAGGTCTAAAATTCAGTTAATGGACCTTAGAATATATTTTCAGTAATTCAATCTGTTTACACATTTACACAAATTAAATACAAAGCAAAAAATACAGTAAAAGATATTAAAACAGCTAAAAGCTTTTACATTCATCACTTAGACCGCAGTAAGTAGGAAAAAAGTTATATAAATTTTACATATACACTCACACTTTCCCTTATTTGTGGATCTAGAAGATAGTTATAGGGACAAAAGACTATCTCAGCATCTTCTATCAGTTCTCGTGCCGTGTAATATGGACATGCCTTTAGTTTTTTCCCCAGGCTGACAAGTTCTTCTATATCCCAGGCCTTGTGCATCCCTTGGAAAGTCTGTAATGTTTGTTGATCTCTAATTTTATGAACACCATGATAAAAATAGCAGGATTTTCCCTAAAAACAAATATGCACAACTGAAATGTAAATCAATATTGGAACAGAAGGAATACAACAAGCTTATTTCAGATTTTTAGGAACATCACTAAAGCCATAAGGCAAAGATATTACAGAAGAGACCGATTATACCATATTTACAATCACAACAATTTTAAAGAAATTACTTGACTCAGATAGTGCTTCAAGTTAGTAGAGCTCCAGATACCCCAAATTAATTTGAAAAAAATATTTAAAAATTGTGTTTGTTGTGGCTCTATTTTCATTAAAGTGATATTAGGCATAAAATATTTCAGGAAGAAAACACAAGAGCAATGGTATCACTGGTAACTTTCAAGGAAGAGAACTAAGTGACTTGGGGACAGGAGTGAGAGAATTTTTTCTCTATAGACCACTTTATACCTTTTGAATTTTGAACCATATGACAGTATTACTTATTCAAATATAAATTTCTGGCTCTAGTTAAGATTATTTTTTCCTTAATTGAAACAAAAATTAGAAAAATGCATTCCTTTTCCAGTATAGGGGCACTTTAGTAAAGGGAACAGTGAACAAAAACACATGTACCTTTGGATCAAGCCAAAAAATCAGGAAGTTTACACTTTAAGGGCACTTAGAATGACACCCCAGTGCAGGCTGATAGCAAAACCAGAAAAGCTCATCCATTTTAGCAGTGTAACACAACCCTGAAGGGAGTCTGTCAATTGAAGCCGTTATCACACTTAAAACTCTTTTCACTCAAACTGTCAGTTATCTATTTATCATTTCGCTTTGGTAATTCAGCCATAGTAAACACAGACACCTATGGTGACTTTGTAATTGGCCCTCATTACAATTCCAAATTACCCTGAGGGCTTGGGAACAAGAAAAGGAATGTTCATGTATGCCCATGAGGTAAGCATTCTAAGACAGCAATTAAGTGGAGGCAAAAAACACAAGAAGATATCTTCAATTATTTGTATCGCTAATATTCAAAAATAAAATTGATTGCTTTAAAGCAAAAAGGGCCAATGAAAAATTCTGAACATTCAATTCTACTGAATTACTTTTTATTCTTACATGATCCAAACTTAAGACAGTAAAAATCAATTAAAAAACATAAGCAACTCTGTAGGATTCTAGAAGACTACATAAAATAACGCTAATCGCTTTAAATACATAATCTTAAATTTTATAATCGCTGTTATCAGTGGGATAACAAATTGCATAATAATTTCTCAATTATAGTAAAAAAAAAAGATAATGACAATGTCAGTAAGTGTTCTTGCATAGTAAGTGTTCAAGCATTTGATGAATCAGATCAGTTAGCCACTTATGGAAAGATGTCTACTTAAGCATGAAATTTCTGGAGTTTTATCATGAAAATTTTTTTCTCTATTTTATTCTTTTTAACATTTGATTTTTTAAAATTTTCATGTCTCCTTAAAAAGAACTTCTTAAGTATATAGAATGAAGGAATTTCACAATTCCTTAGTTAGATAGAACTTTTAAAAAAATAAATAAATCTGATTGCAGACCTTCCACAATGGTTTTGATTCAGTAATGCATTTTCTTTCTGGCTCTGAACAAGTAATTTAAGTCTTTCCATTGAAGCCCTTAGTACTTATGCTTCATATTCTCATAATGTTTGAATATTTATTAAACCGTCTTTTAATATCCCCAAATAAAGCTTGAATATATTATGATCTAATTTTAAAAACTGAGAAAGAAAACTATAATACAAAACAATTTATCATGTTATATGGTAAGGAGATGATAAATCAATGAAATAAAATTCATAATCTTTTATGCAGAACCAACTCTAATAAAATACTAGAGGAAGAGAACAACTTTCAAACAATATTAAAATATCATTGGTCATTTCATATACTATCAGTTTATAGTTCACTGAATTTCTGGTGTAATTCCAGACTTGAAACTTTAATTTTAGAGTAAATTAGTTATCATCCTGGTACACAGATTCCCAAACTAATACTGCCAAATAATTATTTTAAAATCATATAAATTTTTAGTAAGAAACTCTCTCTTTCCATCTGCTCTGGATTCATTTATTCTAGATTTCCCTGACAAATTTCAAAATCTCCAATGCCATCTCTTTAAAGTTAATAATTTAATGTAATATTTTTGAAAGAGAAGTTTGAACTAATCAGAATTGTGATACAAGATAATCATTGTACTTCTCATTAAATTAAAAAACATCTCAAATTTTACTGAGAAAGAACCTAAATAAAGTTTTTAAATATCTGAAACATTAATTATTAAGCTGAGTCATTTAAACACTTTTACCTCCTCATATGACATCATCTATGTTTGACTATTTTTGTTAGAGAGATTTAAAAGAAGAAAGTAAGAAGACAACTGACTACAATAAAAATTAATTTCAAGGAATTAAATACCCCAATCTTTCGGGCCAAACCCATCATTTTAAACTAGAATAAATATTTTCTTATGGTAAAATTATTTTTCAAAAAATATCAATACTAGCAATGGATCCAATTTTCATAAGTTACTTAATTATCACTGGAAATGTACATATAAAACACATATTGTGTAGCCTGAATCTTTTCAGCTTTTTCTTCTCTAAAACAAAACATCTTTACTTACATTTTTTCCATCTAGAAATTCCATGCATTTTTCTTTTCTGTTAAAGTTACCAACTACTTCAGGATGGACACAAGTATGATCCCTGCTGGAAAGAATAGTCATTGGGACCCCTGAGTACGCTGTCCTCCGTAGCTCTCTAGTAATCTGAGCAATCTGCTTGTGTGTGCGTGTTCCAAAATATATTTTGGGTATCTTCGATTTCCCTCCATGATCCTTCTTAATGGCATTTGAAGAATCTTGACTGTTGCCTTCTTTAGTGGAACAAGAGCACCTAGAACAGTGGCCAGGGGGCTGTGATAAAGGAAAGAAAAATTGACTAAAGTCAGGACTATCATAAAAAAATGTTATCAAATCTCTCATGGAATCAAAACCTGTAAGAATCACAACTGCCAAAGACAAATTTCAGGACATTACAGTATTTAAAACTTGCCTTTAAAAAAACCCTGAAAATTCCATTTCAAATTGGTTTTTAAGTTATAAATGATGTTTCTATATTTGCATTGCTTTCTAGCATACCACTCTTAATTTCAGTTTTAAGTACATTTCAATTCTCCCCTTTCATAAATTATAAAAACGATAAGAAAAAGTGGAGGACTATTTTAAGTTTTGGTTTAAGTTTCATGTGAACTTATCGATATTATAGAGTTGATAGTGCTATTTTTGTTCACAGTAGTCTATTCAAATATCATATAATTTACTAATATTAACAAAAGTTATTTTAAATACAGTTTACAAGTGAATAGAAATACCAAGTTGAATCTAAAGTATCATGAAAAAACAAGTAGAGAAAATTCTTCTCTAGCAAAGGTATGAAAATTAATGCAAAACATTAATATTTAATAATGAGGGCAGACTGCTTGTGTGGAACAAGTATATCTGAAATTCAATGACCTGTCATGGAATGCAAACCCATCAGGAAAATTATCAGTCAGGATAGCTTTTCCTGGACAATTTCACCCATAATTCAATTTTATATTTGAAATAGTTATATGTCTTCTTAAACATACCATATGGAACATCAGGAATAGTTAATATTTACCTTGATTTTTCTCTCTGATTTCTAAATTCTTAAAAATTAAAAGAAAGGAAAAAATGCTATATACAAGAGCCCACAGATTCTTAATAACTACTCACTTCTCAGCCTCAATTACTACACCAAATCAGATAGAATGAAGGCTCATTTAAGACAAATTCTGTGAAATGGTTAGTTTATAGAAATGGTCACTGATGAGAAAAGAAGCTAAATAGCACAGTACCCTTAAAAGAATTTGTACTGGAGAGTTTTAGTTTAGCAGAACAAATACTCTAACTGACTGAAGATTTTTTTTTAATTGTAATCAGTAAGATTAGCCTTCACAAACAAATGCTAAGTCATAGCATGTTACACCACAATACTGGGGATCAAGCTGTCTTTTAGCCTCAACTCAGTGAAAAAGCTAGTTCAAATTACTCCCAGTCTCGCTCAACCTTGTCCGCCATTAAATATTACAATACATGATAGAATGGATGTAAATGTGACCCTTCTGGAGCTGTCACTCACTGGGATAAAAGGTTCACTGATGTGCCAAATAAACAGTCAGTCAAAGCAGATAAAGTTACAGCCATGCTGGAATTGTTACATTCCCCTCTCAGGTTGCCAGTAACAGCAGATTTCATTACGGACTGCTGCCACATTAAATAGCCAGTTCCAAATATCCTGCCTTCTAATACTGAATAATTACTTATTCACTGAAAGGATAAAAAGAAGAGTTATGAATGGGGCTCTTGTCAACAGGGAGGCAGGAAACAGCTGACATGTGGTGTATGTTACATATGTTGCAATATCCAACAATTTATGGTCACACAGAAAATGGAATGCAAGTTATATCATGATATTTCTGACTGAATCCCTTTTTGGCCTTAGAAATTATCACATTAATTAATTAACATACTAAAAAGAATTAATGTAACTTGAGGTAGCAGAATTAGTTTACTTTTTTATAACTCCATCTTTTCACTCAATTACACTTTTTCTCTTCTTCAAGATACAGTTAAAATCATTCTGAATATAAGAATGCTAGGGTCCAGTGCATCTTTATATACTATATGGAAACATTATATCCGTGCTAAAAAGTAATTCAATAAAATGGACTTTTCTCAAGTAATCCAATGAAACCTTTTCTCAAGGCTTGGACAACCTACTTTTTTGATGTAACAATTTTCAACATCATCTCCATTTAATTCTTTTACCAGCTACTCTTAATTTTTGAATTAAAATTTTTACTGACCAAAACATTCAAACAAAACAGAAAACAGGTCAACTCCCCCTACCACAAATAACTTAGTGTATAACTTACAGACCTTTATACATACATAAAAATCTTTCATGAAAATTTTTTCAAATAAAAAGGAATGCTATTACAGTTTCATAACCTGCTACTTTGTATTTCACATTTTTTAATTTTTTTAAAAGTGGTGGATTTAGCACTAGTAATTTAAATGAAAGATCTGCTTATCTTAAAATGTTGTGCTGGTAGCTGTACTAACAAAAGCGAAAGATCACATACCCGTTTCAGAAAACTTCTCCCACTAGAGCAGCTTTATGCAGGTACCTTAAATCTTGTTTTTCATTCCATAATTAACAGAATCAGAAACCATAGCTGATTTTACATTAAACATGTTCTTGTTTGTTCTTTAAGTTTTAAAGTGCTCTGAAATAATTATATCATTTATGAATTTCAGGCAGACTCCTCAAAAAAGGTCATTTTTCAATGGATGATTTGGGAAGTAGAAGACGGAAATTAAAAAAAAAGTTGATTCTTTTTCCTTTGCATTATTAAACAAGAATTATTTCTTCAGAAGTGATCTTCACTGAAGTTTCTATTTAAATGATTTGGTACAATCATATTGGGAGATGGAAAAAAACTGAATGTGACAGAATGGAGCTTCAAAAAGACATTTCATATAATAACAAAATAGAATTATTTGTACTTAAAATCAGCAACATTCAATGCTATAGGAAAGCTAGAAGAAGGATTCCAATGATAGTGACAGGAGGTGAGAAGATCTCCTAATCCAATTAATAGGTTAACACTTCATGGACTCTCTCTAAAGTCTTTTGATACAGGAGTCCTGAAATAATTAGATGAATAAAATAATTTTACACCTCTCCCTAAGTATGTCTCTTGGTCACTAACACCTGTTAACAAATGATAAGATTTGTCTTTCATCGGAATGTTTTCCTTTTGCTTTTGCTCTTTAAATTTACAGAGACTTTTTTAAGAGATGGGAGAATAAATTTTAAAATATTCACTCTCAGCCAATATATCTGAAAGTCAAGAGAAGTAAAACTCAGGGGCTCCTAAAAACCTGTAATCTCTGAGAGGTGCAAGTAAGTGGTTACACTGAGTGACAGAACTGAACTCTTTAAGAGATGGCTTCTTCTCCCACTGCCAGCAACTGTCTAGAGTCCTTTTACTTCAACAAAAGACTAGGAAACCCAACCAAATAATAGCAAAGCTGTATCATCTTTTAAAGAAAAATACAAGGGAAACATACATGTGGGTGTGATGGCTGTATTATTTCCATATGCAGGAGTCAATTGTTTAAAAAATACATCCCAAATCTACAGTAGACAGAACTGTTCTTAGAAGATCAGCAACCATGGATTTTTAGAAAAATATTCTTATATTCAATAATTTCTATTTCCGCTCTTGTTCTGTTATATAAGGGAAGATACTAAATTTTTCGAAAAAATGAAGAAGGATTAGAAGACATAATCTTAAAACAAAAGACTGACTCTTTGCCATGATTCCTTTCACACTGCTATAATTAGAAGTTCAAATAGCATAAAGAGACTACAATGTCAACTTCTAAAATTTCATTACTTTCTCTAATCTTTCCCTACCATACACACAAAAATGATTTCCACACCTAAATACACTTAAAAATAAGCATGATAATTAATTAATCTTAGAAGTGGAAAAGAATAAAGAAATAGAAACTAATTCACTGCCACCAGGGAAGAAGTTATTTTACTAATCAGCAAATCAGGGGAGCTTCTGAAAGGAGGGTATGAACTGAATTCTAAAAGTATGCATGCATAAAAAGGTATTATTTAATATAAAAAAGAAATATATAAAAAAAATAAATAAAAAGGAAAAAAAGCGACCAAAAAGAAGTTTATTGCATGAAATAAAGAGAAAACTACGGCAATAAAACAGTAACTTGTATTTTTCCTTAACTTTCCATAACTACACGTATCATCTTTCCAACCACACTAAAAATTCCTTGAGGACAGAAACGATGTCCTATAATTCTTTACTATCTCATTCATTGATCATGGTGTTCTGCACATAACTGAAACTTACTTTTTTTTAATTGATGGACTATGATTAATGTCCCTAAATCAACTACTGTACCTATGTATCCTGTTTTATTTATCTGATAGACACTTAAATTACATCTTAATTTGAAGTTGGAGCCCTGGTGGCGCAGTCGTTAAGAGCTAGGGTTGCTAACCAAGAGGTTGGCAGTTTGAATCCACCAGCCGCTCCTTGGAAACCTTATGGGAGCAGTTCTACCCTGTCCTATAGGGTCACTATGAGTCGGAATCGACTTGATGGCAACAGGTTTGGTTTTAGTTTTCATATATCAAAAACTTACTTCAAAAACAAAAGGTTAGCTTTTAAAAAAAAAAGTACAGGACAATTTGTTATTTTTCCAGGTTAAAAAAATTATTTTGTTACGCTAATATTTGAGTCAGTTTACTTGTGACTGACACGTAGTTTGATATATTCATTAAATGAATAATAACTATCATTTACTAAAGCTGTACCTGTGATAAGCACTTTACATGTACTGTCATTTCATTCATTCATTCAAAAAGCGTTAGAATCCCCACTATATCAAGGCAAACAGAAGACAATGACAAGGTCTCACCTCATCTCACTGACAATGAAAGCTTTATTCTTTTGTTCTACAAAGTGTAGTCTTTGGAGTTTATCTATACCAGTTCACTCATGAATTAAGGAACTGTTTAAAGCTAGTACTCTCAAACTAGATAGTAGACAAGAACAATCTTAGGTGAAGGGAAGGACAACACACACTACAGGGGAAGTCGGCACAACTGGACTAAACCACAAGCTAAGAAGTTTCCTGAATACAAACAAACACTTTGAGGGACAGAGGAGCAGGGGCAGGGGTCTGGGGACCATGGTTTCAGGGGACACCAAGTCAACTGGCATAACAAAGTTTATTAAGAAAATGTTCTGCATCCCACTTTGGTGAGTGGTGTCTGAGGTCTTAAAAGC